TCTAGTATATTGATAAGTAAGTACAAATAGGGGGTGCATAACTTATAGATTTGTGGTTCAAATTTTTCTATCCACATTAATATTTTTAATTTTTAATTAATATAACAAAATGTGCCACTTTTCATAGATCTTTTTAATAATTTATAAATAAAAAGAGGTTCAAATACCCATATTTTTAGGTTGCATTAGCTATGTCTAGACCTTAAGCTAGAAGTGTCAATAAAGTCAAATTATATTTTTTACTTTCTTTTTCTCCTTTCCTTCTTTATTTAGACGTTTTTCTTATTATTTTTTTTTAACTTTTTCTTTTGACTTTTCAAAGCCCTAAACTAAAAGGTAAAAAGGAGTAAAGACATCATATTGTTCTTCTTTTGGCTTCATTCCACATTTCCACTTTGTTGTTCATGGTGAAGTAGAAGTGAGATTTGAGAACAAGTAACAAGGTATGTTATCTAAAAAAAATAATTATTTATTAATGTACTTTATTTGTTTTATATGTTTTTCTTGATTTATGAAGTGGTTCCATTATTTGATTGCTTGAATATTTAAATTTATAAGAATTTCTTGATTTCTAATAGTTATCTAATAATTGTGATTCTTTTATTAGTAAACTTGTTATTTGTGCTAATATTTTTTAAAAATTATTTTGTTTTTATAAGATTGAATAGAAGTGTGAATATTTAATTTTGTAGGTAAAATAATTCTTACAATCAATTCATCAAATCATAAATGGATAAGTTTCTCATCAAGTTACCAAAGCCAAAAGATGGCCAACCAAGTTCTAGCTCTAATCAACCATTTGTGAGTTCACAAGTTGCTCCGGAAGTTCAAAGACATACAAATTCTTTTCCACTTTCAAATATGGATAATATACTTGATTTTAAATCTCTGGAAGCAGATCCCAAAGATCGAATGCCTATTTCATCTTATTGTCCTAATATTCGAAATGCGGTAAGGAGGTATTACATTCAAAAAAAGCCATGTCAACCTGTTGATCATATCTTCCCTAAAACTAAGTTTGGAGATAAAATGCGTCAATTTCGACCAACTTGGTTTAAGAGAAGATCTCAATGGTTGGAATATAGCATTAAAGCAGACACAACATTTTGTTTGTGTTGTTTTTTGTTCAAGAATGAACTTGAAAGTCGTGGAAATGCCGGAGATTCATTTACAAGAGATGGTTTTAGGTGTTGGAACAAAGCTTTAGAAAGATTCAAAAAACATGTTGGTAAGGTAAATAGTATCCATCATAAATGTTTCAATAGGATGCAAGATTTGAAAAACCAACGGCAATCGATCCAATCTTCTTTTGACAAGCAAAGTGAAAAGGCAAGAAGTGATTATCGGATGCGTTTAAATGCCTCAATTGATGTAGCAAGATTTCTCTTGACATCGGGATTTCCATTTCGTGGACATGATGAAAGTGAAGGTTCCGAATATAAGGGTGCTTTTCTTGAACTTTTGAAATGGTATGGGGATAGAAGTTTTGATGTGGGAAGAGTAATATTAGGTAATGCTCCACAAAATGATATGATGATTTGTCCGACAATTCAAAAAGATATTGTGGAGGCTTGTGCTAAAGAAACAACTAAGGCTATCATTGAAGACTTGGACGGTGATTATTTTGGAATATTAGTTGATGAATCAAAGGATGTTTCTCATAAGGAGCAAATGGCTCTAATTTTGAGATATGTCAACAAAAGTGGAATGGTGATAGAGCGATTCTTGGGTATTGTCCACGTAAATGATACATCTTCTCAATCATTAAAAAAGGCAATTTATTCTTTGCTTTTGGATCACTCATTATGTACATCCAAAATACGTGGTCAAGGTTATGATGGGGCTAGTAATTAATATGCAAGGGGAAATAAATGGTCTCAAGTCTTTGATTTTACAAGATACGTCATCTGCATATTCTATTCACTGTTTTGCTCACCAATTGCAATTGGCACTTGTAGGTCTTTCCAAAAAGAATTCGGATGTGGATAATTTTTTTTATGTTCTCACTAATATTTTGAATACTATTGGAGCTTCATTTAAACGCAGAGATTCACTTCGACAACATCAAGAAGATAAATTGGAAGAGTTGTTTAAATTTGGAGAAGTTCATACAGGGCAAGGTTTGAATCAAGAACGTGGCTTCCAACGACCGGATGATACTCGTTGGGAGTCTCATTTTAAAACCTTGGACAATTTCCTGATTCATTTTTCTTCAATTGTTAATGTGCTTAAGTATATGAAACGTGATTGTCCATATCATCTTGATAGATTTGCGGCGGAAATTTTTTTGAGCAAGATTAATGAATTTGAATTTGTCTTTATGTTGCACTTGATGTTTAAGGTGTTGCTATTGACGAATGAGTTGAATAAAGTTTTACAAAAGAAAGATCAAGATATCGTTAATGCTATGGGATTGCTTGACCTTTCAAAGAAACGATTGCAAATGATGAGAGAGGATGAATGAGACTCTATGATGGATGAGGTTAGCTTATTTTATGGTAAACATGGTATTTCAATTCCCAAAATGAATGAAGACTACTCTAATGGGAAGTCGAAGCGTAAGAGGTCCAATATTTCATATTTGTCTCACTTTCGTGTGAAAGTATTTTATGTTGTCATTGATTTGGCACTTCAAGAACTCAATAACGTTTTGATGTGGTGACTAGTGACTTGCTCCTCGGTATGGCTAGTTTGAGTCCGGTTGATTCATTTGCTAATTTTCACAAGGATAGGATAATGAAACTAGCCGAGTACTACCCAAGTGAGTTTGGTGATAAAGAGCTTCGGGAACTCAATTTTCAACTCGATGATTTTATTGTCTATGCTCAAAAGTGTGATAGCAAGTTTCTCAACTTGAAGGGAATCAAGGATCTTGCAAAAGTGATGATAGAGACAAAACTAGATCAAACTTGGTCACTTGTGTATCTACTTGTGAAGCTAACTTTGATTATTCCTGTTGCTACCGCAAGCGTGGAAAGAGCATTCTCATCAATGAAGTACATAAAGAATGATTTGCGTAATAGGATGGATGAAGATCTTTTGAATGGTTGTTTAGTTTGCTATATAAAGCGTAGTATATTTAAAAATGTAAGTAATTATGCTATTATTGACCGTTTTCAAAATATGAAAACTCGTCGAGGACAATTGTAAGTGAATGATGTTTTTGCTAATATATTACTATATAAAGATTGCTACTACCTACTTGCTCGTCAACTTGTTCTCACCGTAAAATTTATATAATTGAATTAATTGTCTATTTTGAAAATAATAATGCCCCATGTTCTTGAGATCCTGGATACGCCTCTGTCCACACTGAGATCCTCTTCACACGTATGAACCATCTCATTTCACTTTTCGTATCTTGTCCTCCACCCAAGTCTCTCCCAAATTGTTTTGATATCTTCATATCTAATTCTATCTCTCCTAATATGCCCTTACACCTATTAGAACATGCTCATTTCCGTAACTTCTGACTTTTAAAAATAAGAATTTTTGACTAGTTAATACTTTGTCCTATACAACTTAGTCAGTCTAACTATCACTCTATAAAACTTGTGTTTTAAATTTTGACTTCACCTTCTTATCACATAAGACCTCAAATACAACGCGTTCACCCTACACCATTGTCGTTAGTGACTTTCTTCTTTTTTAAATAACCAATTCAAGATACTTGAAACTTTCTGAACAGCTTTCCAATCAAGCTTTAGCTAAATCGAAAAAGATTAGATAAATAATTTATTTTTTCCTAAAGATAATAACTATTAACCGAGTAACCGAATTTCAACTTTCCCTCTCTTTGTCTAATGAGCAAATCCGTATAATAAGTGTGAGATATATGATAAACAACCCGCCAAAAAAAAACAACAAATATCTTTGTCAATTTCTATTACAGCAAATACAAACAAGAAAGCTCTCTACTAGCTTCAATTCTTCCCCAAGGCAATTTCTTAAGGGCATGGCGGCATCTACGGCGCTGCTAAGTATTGCTCCGCCGCAGTTCAACTCAACAGCAAAATCAAAGGTAACCCGAAAACCCCCTTTTTGTTCTTGCTCTCTAGATTCCTCAAATTCTGCTACTACTAGTTCTACTGTTAGTGAAGAGCGAGATAATACTCCCAAGAAATTTACATATACCAGAGCTTCTCCATCTTCTAGATGGCCCCACTTGAAATTCACTGACACCCATCAAAGTTCACAGCCCTCCCCGTTATCTGTTGCCGTCCCGTCTGTAAAAGATGTTGAATTTGATTCGGGAAGTGATGGGAATGTGGGTTGTTATGAGGGAAGAGGAATGGAGAAGGGAGAGGAGTCGTTGAACTCAAATGGGTTTCAACTGAATGATGAAACCCAAGAGGTTTTGGGTAGACCCAGCAGGACTAGGGCGAAGAAAATGACGAAACTTGCGCTCAAGAGGGCGAAAGATTGGCGTCAGAGGGTACAATTTTTAACTGATAAGATTTTGGGGCTGAAATCTGAGGAGTTTGTAGCTGATGTGTTGGATGAAAAGATGGTGCAAATGACCCCTACTGATTTTTGCTTTGTGGTGAAATGGGTTGGTCAATCTAGTTGGCAAAGGGCATTGGAGGTTTATGAATGGTTGAATCTTCGAAATTGGTATTCTCCGAATGCCCGGATGCTTGCAACAATACTTGCTGTGCTGGGCAAGGCCAACCAGGAAGCATTGGCTGTGGAGATCTTTATGCGGGCAGAGCAAAGTATTGGAAACACAGTTCAAGTATATAATTCAATGATGGGTGTTTACGCTAGAAATGGGAGGTTTTCCCGGGTTCAACAGTTACTTGAATTAATGCATGAGCGCGGGATTGAGCCAGATCTTGTGAGTTTTAATACTTTGATTAATGCGCGTCTCAAATCAGGCCCTATGACACCAAACCTGGCAATTGAACTTCTTGATGAAGTAAGGAGTTCGGGCACTCAACCTGACATAATAACTTATAACACTCTGATTAGTGCTTGTTCACGCGAATCAAATGTTGAGGAAGCTGTACAAGTTTTTAATGATATGGAAAGTCATAGATGCCAACCTGATTTGTGGACGTATAATGCTATGATTTCAGTTTTTGGGAGATGTGGAATGGATGGTGAGGCTGCAAGGCTGTTCAATGAACTGGAGGCAAATGGCTTTTATCCAGATGCAGTGACATATAATTCACTGCTCCATGCATTTGCTAGGCAGGGGAATATTGAGAAGGTTAAAGAAATCTGTGAAGAGATGGTGAACATGGGTTTTGGGAAGGACGAAATGACTTATAATACCATCATTGACATGTATGGGAAACAGGGTCGGCATGACCTTGCATTGCAAGTCTACAATGACATGACGTCTTCTGGTCGAAGCCCTGATGTAATTACATATACTATTCTTATTGACTCACTAGGGAAAGACAATAAAATGGCAGAGGCTTCAAAAGTGATGTCTGAGATGCTGAATGCAGGGATAAAGCCAACAGTGAGAACTTACAGTGCCTTGATTTGTGGTTATGCAAAGGCAGGGAAGAGGGTTGACGCAGAAGATATGTTCGACTGCATGGTACGTTCTGGAATTCATCCGGATCACCTGGCTTACACAGTGATGCTAGACATGAATCTGAGGTTTGGTGAGACCAAGAAAGCAATGTTGTTGTATCATGACATGGTGCGCAATGGATTCACGCCTGAACTTGCTCTATATGAATTTATGCTCCGATCTCTTGGAAGAGCAAATGAAGAAGAAAATATCCAGATTGTGATTAAGGACTTGAAAGAATTGGGTAATTTGGGTCCGCAATCCATTTCATCTCTACTTATTAAGGGTGAATGCTATGACTTTGCAGCCAAAATGTTGAGATTAGTCATTGAGGAGGGTTCTGAATTTAATCATGATGACCTGTTATCTATTTTGGGTTCATACAGTTCATCTGGGAAGATCTCAGAAGCTATAGAATTGCTAAATTTTGTGAAAGAGCATGATTCCAGGTCCATGTCCAAGAAACTTATAACTGATGCCTCAATAATTATTAACTGCAAAGCTCAAAATTTGAATGCTGCATTGGATGAATACCGCGAGACAGGTGATTCATATACATTCAGTATTTCTGTGTATGAGTCCCTCATCAAGTGTTGCGAGGAGGCTGAACTGTTTGCTGAAGCTTCTCAGATATTTTCTGATATGAGGGCCAAGGGTGTAAAACCTTCTCAGGATATTTGCGGGATAATCTCTGTCATTTACTGCAAGATGGGTTTTCCAGAAACAGCACATTGTTTGATTGACCAGGTGGAAGCAAATGGTATGCTCCTTGGGGACATCTCATTTCATGTAAGTCTTATTGAAGCATATGGTAAGCTCAAAATAGTTGAAAAGGCAGAGAGTGTTGTGGCAACTATAGAACATCGGTATGGTGTTGTGGGAAGGATGGCTTATAATGCATTAATACAAGCTTATGCTTTAAGTGGTTTCTATGAGAAAGCTAGAGCTGTTTTCAATACCATGATGAGAAATGGTCCATCCCCTACAGTGGATACCATAAACAATCTCATGCAAGCATTAATTGTTGATGGCAGATTAAACGAGCTGTATGTTCTGATCCAGGAACTGCAAGATATGGGTTTTAAGATTAGTAAGAGTTCCATTCTTTTGATGCTTGAGGCATTTGCTCAAGCTGGTAACGTATTTGAAGTGAAGAAAATTTACCATGGAATGAGAGCTGCTGGATATTTACCTACCATGCATCTTTATAGAGTTATAATTGGGTTACTGTCCAGAACTAAACAAGTGAGGGATGCTGAAGCCATGCTTTCTGAAATGGAGGAAGCTGGATTCAAGCCAGATCTTTCAATATGGAATTCAATGCTCAAGTTATATACTAGAATTGAAGATTTCAAGAAGACAGTGCACATATACCAGAGAATTCAAGAAGCTGGACTCAAACCAGATTTGGATACTTACAATACTTTGATAATAATGTACTGTAGAGATCGTAGGCCTCATGAATCTCTTTTGTTAGTGAATGAGATGAAAAGGCTGGGTCTATTCCCTGAGAGAGACACTTATAAAAGCCTGATTGCTGCATTTTGTAAGGAGCTGATGCTGGAACAAGCTGAAGAACTCTTCGAAAGCCTGAGGTCAGAAGGACATAACCTCGATCGTTCTTTTTATCACTTAATGATGAAAATGTATAGAAGCTCTGGAAATCATTCCAAGGCTGAAAAGCTAATAGAGAAGATGAAGGAATCAGGGATTGAACCATCTGATGCTACGATGCATTTGCTGATGACTTCATATGGTACTTCAGGCCATCCAATGGAAGCTGAGAAAGTGCTGAATAGTCTAAAGTCAAATGGTGTAAATCTCAGTACTCTACAGTATGGCTCTGTTATTGATGCGTATCTCAAGAGCAGAGATTACGATACTGGCCTTTTGAAGCTCAAGGAGATGATTGGGGAAGGTCTAGAACCAGATCACAG